TTGGGCCGCAGAGCGGGTAGGCGGCAGAGGTCGCCGTGTTGAACGGCTCGCTGAGGTACGCCGAGAGCTCGTTGTTGCGCTCGCACCAGTCAAAGTCGCTGTCGACCGGACCCCAGTACGACTGTGTCGAGCCCGCATGCCGCGTCTCCCGGCAGACCACGATCATGTCGAAGTCCACCGCGCTCGGAAAAAATACCTTCGGAACCGCTTTGCCAAGGCGCACAATAGTCAGACTGACAGCATTTTCCAGATGCGTCATCCTGGGCCGCTGGAAAATGCTCTCAACCCCGTACCCTCTGTGACCGTCTGCCGGTCGCCATTTATTTCTGGCTGCCGAGGATGCCACAACTGGAAAACACTGTCAGTCTGACTATTGTGCGCCTTGGCGAGGCGGTCCCGGTGGTATTTTTTTCGAGCGCAGTGGACTTCATCTTGCTGGTCTGTGCCGGCGGTCGACAGCTGCTCGGCCGAGCTGCTGTCGACCACCGGCAGTTGACCGGCAAGATGAAGTCCACTGCGCTCGCGATCGGGATGTCCGGAACCGCCTCGCCGAGGCGCACAATAGTCCTCAGTCTGGCGAAGGCCAATTCTGTCATCCTGGAAAGCCCAGAGCGGGACGTCAAGAGGCTAAAACGGCCGAAAAGCAGCACTGTTTCTGGGCGGTACTCACGGTACCTCGAGGCGCTACCTTTATTTGTTTAGGGGGTTTACGGCCAGCCCCGCGCCGCACCCTGTGTCCCAATCCAACATACACGATGACCGAGCTCGCGCGAGCGTTGCAGGGCGCCCAGGACGGGTGGATCCTTGAGGACGCCGAGTGGATCGCGGCCGCGGGCGGTGTGCACGAGCTGGAGCTTGCGCTCAAGGCAAGTGAGGATGGGCGTGTGGTCGACGTGTACCTCAGATGTCGCAAGGACCTTAGGGAGTTGCCAGCGTCGCTGGGAAGGCTCACGGCGCTCCGGTCGCTCAAGCTGAGTGGCTGCTTCTCACTGACGGCCCTGCCCGACCTCTCCACTCTCGTCTCGCTGCAGGAGCTCGTGGTTGGGGGCGCGTCCAACTCGCTGACAGCCCTCCCCGACCTCAGCGCCCTGGCCTCGCTGCGGAGGCTCGAGTTGGCCAACCTCCCCGCGCTGACGGCCCTGCCCAATCGCTCTTCTCCCTCCACGTTGCAGACGCTCAGCATCGACTTGTGCAGCAGCCTGACGGCCGTCCCGGACTTCTCAACCCTGACCTCCCTGCAGGGGCTCTGCGTGCAACGCTGCTCCTGGCAGACAATGCCCGGTCTCGTCCTTCTCACCTCGCTACAGTGCCTCTGCGTGATCAACTCTGACCTCACGGAGCTGCCCGACCTCTCCGCTCTCACCTCGCTGCAGGAGCTCGACGTCAGCCACTGCGCCCTGAAGGCCCTGCCCAAACTGCCTGCCGGCGTCAAGGTCAGGCACACGCTCGACGGCTTCGATCCGTACGCGTGGGGCGAGTGAGCTGCTGCTACTGCGCGATCTCAACGAGAGCAACATTTTCGACGGTTTGGAACGTGTGGTTGCGAGGGGGCATGGTTAGCGTCAGATTTTTTCCACATCGTACTACGTTATTTTCTCTCCCGGTCGGATGAAGGTCGAAGGAGCACGTATGCTGCTATGCTCTGCTGCCGCGCTTGCCCCAATTTCTTCTACATATTCGGTCCCAACGTACCGGAAAAGTACATGTGCATGAGCTTGAAAATCGCTCCAAAGAGCTCCAAAGAGCATGCACATGCACATGTGCATGTCTGGGCCCCCGGGGGCCCATCTACAGCAGCGGCGAAGTGAGCGTGTTTGTGGTGTTGGTGTGGCGTCTGAGCTTGGATCTGTGACTAAAGCCGGTTACCACTGATGGATCCCCACCCGAATAACACACAGTGAGCGCCCCAGCGCTTGGTTCACTACGCCCTCCGCGCGAAATCGCTAGTGGTGCTTTGTGGTAGTACATTGTACTTTTGAGTAGTATGGGTACATGAAACGGACGGACGGACGGAAAAACACCCCCCCTTTTATGCCTGACCCTGGGCATGCCTCTCTGGGGGTGAGCTGGGTCGGCCACCTCCGGGTCTGCAGCTCGCACGGTGAGGCCGCATCCGGGCGAGCATCCGAGGCCCGCGGTTGTCCTTTCGCCGGGCGCGACCGCCATGGAGATCCGCTGCACACAGATCAGTGGTTTTGTCGACTTTTGCTCGCTCTCTGTGCACTCGCAACGCCAGAGGCCGTGCTCGGAGAATGCGTCGCAATGCTGCTGCGCCAGTGGATTGAGCCGCTTCGCAAGCTCCATCGGTGAGCTGCGGCGGCGCGCCGGCCGCTCCATGCATAGCTCTCGGGCGAGCTGCCGCAAACGCGTTTTCCGTCCGCCCGTTTCATCGAGTTTGCCCGAGTGGTAAAATGCAATCGAATTTGCCCGAGTGGTCTGATGGGAAAAATCCAAAGGTGGCCCCGAGAGCTAAAGGTCAACATCCCCTCCGGCTACGACAATGCGAACCTGATCTGGTCCTCACGGGGTTGACCCGTCTCCTCCAGATCGGGACGGACTTCATGGACGGCCGAGCAATAGTTCTTCATTACTATTATTAATTCATGCTCTTTGCACGGCTGAGCCCCCCCCCCCCCCTTTCCCCAATGGCCCCCCCCCCCCCCCCACCCACGGCCTGCCCATCTCGGCCGATGTGGCGCACCCGACCTCCGTCACCGCTCGCAGGTGAGGAAAGGCACGACTCATAATGAATGATGGGCCTGGCTCGTGCGGCCGCGGCCGCGGCATATGATGAATTAACGCCCAGCACGTCTGCGTCGCGGGATCCCAACGTCCCGTCGCCGATCCATCCCGCATCGTAGGTGTGGGCAATCAATTCGGTTACCCTATAGCGGTTACCGCCAAGTTTCATTTCGGCGGTTGCGATATCTAGTACTCCGCAAGCGCGGCCATAACAAACATCGCAAAAAGCGTGTCGTCATCGTCTGTCTCGCGCCCACCCATACCGCGCTGGTGTCCAGTCCGAGCCTGACTGATCTTCACCTTCCTACATACATACATACATACACGGGTCTCCGAGGGTTGGCTCCGCGTACCGGGTTTCCCTTAATTGCATGCATGCATGCATGCAGAACGCCCCCTCCCTCTACTCCGGAGCTAGTGGGGGTGCGCACGCGGCCCTTCCCCCTCCGCATCCCACGTAGACTAACGCGCAGCGGGGTATTTCAGAAGGTCGTATGAAGAGCGACTCGGATTTCGTTTTTCTTTCTTATCAACCTTGGTTTGAGCTCTCACTACTTGAGTATAGCTGGACTCTAGAGGCCGTCATCGCATTCGCCTTCCTGGGACCCAGCGCTGACTTCTGACTGTCGTTGCTGTCTCTCCCTTCTCGACTGTCTGTGCTTGTGCGTCTTGGGTCCGGGGTTGTGTTTTTGCGTGAACAGCGCCTCTCAAAACTTTCGACCTCGGAGGTGAATGTCCCCCCCCCCCCCGTCCCCCCCTCACCTCCAAGATGCTCACCAGTCTCGAAGTCCTCGGCCAAAAGACGGCGCATCCGCCGTCATTCCTCTCAAGTGAGCTGCCCCGCGGCTAGCTCGTAGCGCCAACTTACTACACAAACGGTCGCGACGCGGCGGCGCTAGCCCTCACTGATCGCAAGGCGGCGCTAGCTCTCACTGATCGCAACCCTCCCCGCCCACAACTGCCAGCCTTCCTCGGCTGCTTCATCGGACTGGGCGGCCTTGCTTTTGGCGAAGTCTTCCTCCGCGAGCTGTGCTCTCCGGCTCCCGCCGCGCTGAACATCTCGGCCTCGCCGCCTGCTTCGCCACCGTCGGCCGGCTCGCCCGCTCCGCCGCCAGCATACTTGTACACCGCAGACGCTCTCCCGAACGCCACGTCCATCATGAGTGCAGAGACGTGCGACGAGCTCGGCTTCTGGCTCTCGGACCACGCGCTGCTCTTCGTCGGCTCGTTTGGGGCCCTCGCCACCCTCCTCTTCGCGGCTCCGGCGGCGCCTCTCGGCAAGCCGAAGAACACACTCGGAGGCCACACGCTCGCGGTGAGCACGGCGCTGGCGATCGCATCGCTCGAGCTGGACCCGGTGCTCGAAAAGATCCTTACGCCCTCGCTCGCCATCGCGCTGATGCTGCAGTTCAAAGTGGTGCATCCCCCCGCCGCGGCGTGCTCCATCATCTTCTCCTCCGCCGTCAAGGACAAGTTCAAGAACCCGCTGTACTTGTTCTTCCCGACTCTGCTCGGGTGCACCTGGATGCTGCTCGTGCAGTACCTCGTGGCCCGCTCGGTCCACTCGTCCAAGTCTGCTGGGCCCGCGCCGGGGCCGGCGGCCTCGCGCACCGTCACCATCGCGCCGCCCGCGCCCGCCGCCAGCGGGCCGGACAAGCCAGCGTTCAAGGTGCCTACCAAGGGCGAGATTGACAAGCTCCGCGCCGCCTACTCGTCGAGCAAGCGGCAGCCCGACCTGAGCACCATGACCTCGCTCGACAGCCTCAAGCTCACCCTCCATGCATGAGAGACGAACACCCCTCTCAGCCACCCCTCCCGGGGGCCCGCCCGCCGCAGACGCGGTGCGGATGCCCTGCGCCCCTTTGGTCGGAACGGGTGCTGCCTGGGCGGAACTTCAACTGGCTCGGCTCTTTAGCTCGCTAGCGCAGGCACAGCGGGCAGGGACCTCTCTCTGCGCTCTAGTCTGCTCTGGCAGGGACATGCGCGCCGGAGAACCGGGCAAAATGTACAATTCTGTGACAACTGGTGCGCTACGCTCCGAGCTGCCACTGAGTCCTCGATGTGTACATTTTTCCCTTTCGATTATCTCTAGGAGTTAGGAACAAGATTGAAGCTAGGATTGCGGAGGAAGGCTTCTCTAGCGTAGGGTGCCCACAGGACCCAAAATCTCGGTGGTCACGCCGGTCCGGACCGATGGCGGATGGCGCTCGGTGTGGAGCAAGCAAGACCCCCCCCCCCCCCATCGGCGCGCGCCCGAGGTTCAAACGGCCGCCAGGAGCACCAAGAGGACTCCTCATGGCTGTGACCAAGTGGGCTTCGACCGGCCTCGGCTGGGGGGGCGAATTGTCCCGGCTGCGGACGCCATCTGCAGCCCCCTGGGCGTGCGCGTGGGTCAGCACCCCAAAACTGCCCCTCGGCGGCATACAGCACTGCCAGCCAGCCTCTTCCTCCTCCTAAGGGCTGTACTATAGGCCATATTGCGCCGCCTCCTACTGGCAGCCGGGCGGGCGCGCGCCGCGGGCGCCTCGGCGCGCGCACGGCTCGCAAAGTTCGAACGAGTACTGCCGCCCGGCCGCCTCAAGGGTGCCGGGCGGCAGACCAGTACTCGCCTCCCAAGGCGCCCACCGGCTGCTCTGGATGCTGCGCCGGCGGCCGCTGCGC